CGCTTCCGGTGCGGGCGCCTTTTCCCAGCGGAAAGAACGTAAGCAGCGTGAAGTGCGCTGGACCGCGCAGGCGCAGGCGCGTCTTCTGGCTCCGGGCCCGAACGACGCCACTCCAGATCTTGTGATTGCCCAGAGACTGGGCCCGTGACCACACCCCTAGCGACCAACGAACCAATAGAGGAGGCTTTAGTGGTTGCCAAGGTAAACTTCTAGCGGCAAGATGGCAGCCGCCAGTCAAGGAAGCCGGAGCTCCCGCCCGCAGCGCCGGGACCCGCAGGGGCGGCCGCCACAGGACGGTAACGGCTGCAGGGCTGGGGGCGGGGGGGCGCGTCCGGCTGCCCTACGCCCTACCCGCGCCCCGGTCCCCACGCGAGCTTCCACGAGCCCCTGTCGGTATCCCCGGAGACCTCGTCGCCCCTGGCCCTGGAAGGGTCTCGCCTCCGGGTGCGCGGGTGCCCCGCGGGATGGGCGGGGGAGGGGGTCTCGGGGCCCGGAGACCGAGCCGGAAGGCGCCCGAGCCTGGACGCGCGGTTCCGAGGTTGGACGGGAGCTGTCCTTAGAGTTACGGAAAAGGGACTGGAGTGAACTCCGAGTCCGCTCCGCTCTCTTCCGGTAGAACCTGACCTCGTTTTCGGCAGATGCAGGAGTCTGATGACGCCACACTCCCCTAGAACCGCTCCCCCCAAGTTGTGCCCCGCATACCAGGGGGCTGGTGGGGGTGGGAGTGGGAGTGGGGGCTGGTGCGCTCAGCAGCGGAGCGGCCGGAGGGAGGGCTTTGTCCTGATGGGACTGGAGGCCGCCGGAGGGGCCAGCTTCCTGACGTATGGTAGCAATCATCTCAGGTAGAAACTGTAGTTTAACTTTAACCCTGCTATTTGGCTTCTGTACTTATTTGCTTTGTTTAACAATGGAAAAGTTATTTTGATTTTCTGAATTATATAAATCATCCTATTTGATTAAATACCCTATTGATTATGTGACTATCCCATTTGTCGTGGCCATACAGGTCTTAGAAAGCACATTTTCCTTTACCTGGGAAGGACAGCACCGTTATCCCAAGGTCAGAGGGCTCCAGTTAACGTGTCCCTGTTGACTCAGTGTTCCGGAGACCCAAAAACTGTGATTTAGACAACAGGCTTAAGTCTGACCAGGTTCCTCACTCCAGACCCTCATGCTCTAGATAATGTGTTTCTGTCAATGCAGTGACCCTGAGACCCCAAACTATAATTAACCTGCTGCTTCTGCTTCTGTAAACTGCTTTTTTTGCAAACCAGGTTCCTCATTCCAAACCCTGGGATGTAATCAATACCTTTGTGATTTTTTGCGTATATAACCCTGGAGCTGCGACCATCTTATCACTATGAGATTTGGGGAATGGCCCCTCATAGTCCCGGATTGCAATAAATGTGACTCTTTAATTCTGCTTCTTGAAGCGTCCTTCTGTGATTCTCGGGGTACATTACAGCATCCCCCCGCCCTGCCCTCGCCTTCCTCTGGCTAATTAGGCTCAGCTGGGAAGTCCCCTCTCCCCTCCCTCAAGGCCCTCCCACCCGGCCTGCCTCTCTGCACTGAGTAGGGGCTCATCACGTTCGGTGCTTAAGCAAACGAAGGAGTGGGGGCGGGGTGGACAGTACACAGGACAAGTCCTGACCCCCGGACTGAAGCCTCGGGCAGCCGTGTCGGGAGGTCACAGGCGGGGAAGCGCACAGACGCCCCCAGACCACCCCACCTGGAGGGTTGCCGGACGTCAGCCAGGCTGCCTGTGCCACATGCTCACCCGCGCATCCTTCTCGATATCCAGGTTACGGTGTCTACACCTACCCCAATTCCTTCTTCCGATATGAAGGGGAGTGGAAAGGCGGGAAGACCCACGGTAAGAAGCGCCGGTGGCCTCTCCCTGCAGCGGCCACCCTGCAGCCGACAGCCCCTTTCCTCCGGGCGCTGGGGAGGCGGGTGGCACCAGGTGCCGGTGGGACTGGGCCCCCACACTGTCACTGTCGCCCAGGAAAGGCATTGGGGCTCACTGGGCAAGCTGCCCTGGGCCGTGGCACCGGGGTCGGAGGGGACCCCTGGCCTGCCACCTCCTCGCAGCCAGGAAACCGCAGCTGCCTTCGTGGTTCATTTCTGACGAGAAAGAGCTTATCTCCTTTCGTAGAAAGGCTCAGCCGCGAGGAGCGAGTCTGTGAAGGTCACCCGGAGGTCTCCCAGCGGGTCCCCAGCTCCGCCCAGTTTCATGTCTGCCTGGGGTTCTGCTGAGGATGGGGAGAGAGAGAGAGAGAGAGAGAGAGAGAGAGAGAGGAAACATTGATGTGAGAGAGACAGCAGCTGTTTGCCTCCCACACGCACCCCGACCCACAACCAAGGTTGTGCCTTTGACTGGAAATCGGGCCCGACCGAGACCCTGGGTCCGCGGGCTGACGCTCTGACCACGAGCAGAGCTGGCCAGGCCTGTGGCATTCTCTCTTATGAGCTCTTGTTCCTGTGGGCCCCGCCTTTTGGCTTTTACGGATTGTAGCGCTTCTGCCAGAGATTTCTCACGTTCACTCAGGTCTCGGACTCCCGCTCCCGCTCCTCTCTGAGAACCAGCCGGCAGCTTGCGGGCACCAGCGGGCACTCCGGCCGCTGCAGGGCGTGACGGCACCGTTTCCTTCTCCAGGTCGCGGGAAGCTGCTGTTTAAGGACGGGAGTTACTACGAGGGCGAGTTTGCCGACGGGGAGATCGTGGGCCAAGGCCGCCGCCACTGGGCCGCCACAGGTCAGCCCCGAGACCCTGGCCACCTGCTGACTCCCTTCTCTCAAACCATCTCCCTTCTGGGTGCGAAGGCACTTCCGGCTGTAAACGGGGGGGCCCTGGTTCCCCTGAGGGGTCTTGTCACAGCCCGTGCCAGCCGGGAGTGGGGTGCTGGGGTGCTGCCCACAGCGAGGCCAGGGGCTGCCTCCCGACCCTCAGACCCCCAGACCCTCATGGACAAGCGTGGTGGTCGGTTCCCAGCAGGAGAAGGCTCAGCCCTCGGATCTGGGACACCGCTGCCCGCCGAGGGCCCCGGGGGAACCAAGAAGGCAGGTCCGGATCCGCCGGGTCCTATGTCCCCTCGTAAACCTGGGTCCGCCCTGAACCGGCCACTGCTCAGGGGACGGCGGGCAACACGGAACCGGCGCCGACCCTGACCTCGCGCCCCCTCCTCGTCCCCCCAGGGAACACCTATTCTGGTCAGTTTGTCTTTGGAGAGCCCCAAGGCCACGGCGTCATGGAGTACAAGGCGGGGGGCCGCTACGAAGGGGAGCTGTGCCACGGCGTGAGAGAAGGTCTGCGCCCCGGGGCCCGGGAATGGTGGCCGAGCCCCGCCCCCCTGCCCGACACTCGGACTCAGTGGGGGGGGGTGGGCTCAGGGCCCTGCACCTGACGGGCTGGTGTCCCTTCAGGTCCAGAGCCCCAGCCCCCACGTGACTGTGGGGTGGGAAGGAGGTGAGGGTGCACTCCCCCTGCCCCCGGAGCCGTGGCTGGCGCAGTGTGTGGGGGGGCTGTGCCTGTGATGCCAACCACCACTATGTGACAAGCCCCCCAAAACCTAGTGGCACAGCCCTGGCCAGTTTGGCTCAGTGGATAGAGCATTGGCCTGAGGACTGAAGGGTCCCGGGTTTAATTCCGGTCAAGGGCACATACCTGGGTGGCAGGCTCAATCCCCGGCCCTGGTCGGGGCGTGTGTGGGAGGTAACCAGCCCACGTGTCTCCCACATCAATGTTTCTCTCTCTGTCTCCCCCCCCCCCACCACATTCTCTCTAAAAACCAATGGGAAAATACTCTCAGGTGAGGATTCACACAAAATACAAAACCTAGAGGCGGGAAACAACCCCCGTTTTGTTACTTGCTTGCAATCCGGGTCAGAGGTCGGCCTGGGCTCAGCCTGCCAGGTCCTCTGGCCTCGCTGCAGCCTCGGGGCTCCGCGCGGGCACGGCCTCCTCGCCTGCCCCAGGCCGGCAGGGGGGCGGTGGGCACGGCCCGGAGGCCGGAGGCTCGCGGTTCAGCGCGGGCACGGCCTCCTCGCCTGCCCCAGGCCGGCAGGGGGGCGGTGGGCACGGCCCGAGGCCGGAGGCTCGCGGTTCCCCGAAGCCCAGCCGCCCCGGGCGAGCAGGAACGTCCTCTGAGTGTTGCTCGTGTTAGAAGTAGGAGGGCCCGGCCGGCGGGGCTCAGGGCTGAGCGTCGGCCTATGAACCAGGAGGTCACGGTTCGGTTCCAGTCAGGACACGAGCCCGGGTTGCAGGCTCGATCCCCAGGAGGGGGCGTCCAGGAGGCAGCCGACCCATGACTCTCCCATCATTGATGTTTCTATCTCTCTCTCCCTCTCCCTTCCTCTCTGAAATCAAACAAAAATAAATTTTTAATAAATAAATGAAAGCAGTAGGAATGGCCTCGAACCGCCGACGTCCAAAACCGGAAAACCCGGATCTAGACAGAGGCCCCTAGAATGGGCCACTGAAGCCTCGCCAGTCACACGCAGGTTCCGGTACACACACGCGCACACGCACACGCACACACACACACACACGCCCCACAAACAGGTCCGGGGCGCGTGGCATCGCCCCTCCTCACCCCCACCCCCCACCCCGTGCACACACAGGTTCCGGTACACACACACACACGCACACACGCACACACGCACACGCACACGCCCCACAAACAGGTCCGGGGCGCGTAGCATCACCCCCCCCACCCCGCGCACACACAGCAGGTGCGCCGGCCTCCGTGTGCCCGCCCTCAGGGCCTCGGAGAGCTGCACCCAGAGCCACTTGTACTGGCGGCTGCCCCAGGTCACCCCCCAGCCCCGGGACGGCGGCTCCTGGGTCCCGTGCTGAGCCCTGGGGCCCCGCCTTGTCCTGAAGTCACCGCCTTCCCGTCGGCGGGCGGCCTGCAGCTGGGCTCTGCTCCTCCCCAGGACACGGGCGTCTGGTGGACCAGGACGGGCGCGTGTACTGGGGGTCCTTTCACAACAACAAGCGACACGGCCGCGGGCACATGGCCTTCCCGTGAGTACAGGGCCGGGGCCAGGGGCCTCGGAGTGTGGGGTCTGCGCTCCCCTCGGTCACTGGCTGGCCGTGCGCGTGGTTCGGGGGCGGGAGGGGCGTGCAGCCCGCAGAGGCCTTCTCCCTCGGCCGCCCGCCGGCTGGACGTCGGCCTCCTAAGCTCCTGGGCCAGTTTCTCACTCGAAATCCTGCCGCTGGGATTTGTGGGTTCACCTCCCCCTTTTCTTCCCTATTGTGTCCTCTCCGAGCCCCGAACCCTGGGGGGGCTGAGTCCTACACCTGGGGGGCTGAGTCCCTACACCTGGGGGGGCTGGGTCCCACACCTGGGGGGCCGAGTCCCACACCTGCGGGGCCGAGTCCTACACCTGGGGGGTGGCCATGTGCTCTCAGGACCGGGGCTGTCACCGAACCTGCCGAGCGCCCAGCCTCCTGCCCGGGCACCAGGCCATCTGTCGGCCTATTTCTGCCGCGGTGGCGGTGCCCGTGGCGCGTGCCCAGCCGGTCGGTCGGTCGGAGGAGCTGGCCTGAGTCAGGCGCCCCCTGGCCCAGCCTGAGCCCGGCCTCTGGGTCCCGCAGGAACGGTGACGAGTATGAAGGCGACTGGGTGCGGGACCAGCGGCAGGGCCACGGGGTGCTGCGCTGCGCGGACGGCTCCACCTACGAGGTACAGGCCTCCTCGGGGCGCAGCTCACCCGGCGGGGGGGGGGGCACTGTCCCCACTTTACTGGCCACCAAACCGAGACTTGGGGAGCTCACGGCCCTTCGTCCGTCCGGCTCCTGAACCCACGACCCTCCGCTCTCCCGGACGCTGAGGTGCCGGTTCTGCTCCTCTGGGCCTGGCGCCCGGGAAGCATTTGAATGAGAAGTTCCAGGTGGCGCTGCAGGGCAGGGGGGCCGTCTGCTCCTCTCGCCAGGCCCGCGCCCCTCTCCCCTCTCCCCTCCCCTCTCCCCTCTCCCGTCTCCCCTGCAAACTGGCTCAGCCCAGAGGCCCGGAGGTGGGACAGGCTCCTGCAAACGCCAGGCTCGCGGGGTGCCCGCCGCTCGTCCACTCGCCACCAGGGGGCAGCCCAGCCCTGCCCACGCCGCAGCTCCAAGTTGTCGCCAGGGCCGGACGTGGCCTGGGGACCCCGGACCCCCGCTGCAGCCTTGTTGGGAGTAAGGAGGGGTGTCTGCTCGGTGTCCTGGCTGCAGACCCGGGTCCCGCAGGCCCTGGTGACGGTCTTGCCCGCAGCGCGCAGGGGCCCAACTTCACGGGAACACGCGTCCTCTGTGGCCGCGCGAGGGGCTCACCCCCCTGACAGCGGCTGCCCTCTCACCGGCGCTCCCCGCAGGGACAGTGGCACAGCGACGTCGCAGCGGCTCTGGGCAGCATGGTCCACTGGCTCCGGGCTCGTTTACTGGGGCATGTGGATCACGGCACCCGGGTGGGTAGGGGTCCCCCCGCCCCCCTCC